ACTCCAAACCCTTCTTCCTTCCACTTTCCATTTCAGCCATAACGATTATATGTTGATAATGATGTTGTAAATTATTAAAAATGGGGTCTTGATGGTTAAATGTGTTGGTGGAAGTCTAAAACTCAAGAAAGATGAAGACTTGTAAGAAAAAGTGTCGCATTTGGCTTGTGTGTGAGTTATTCTTGATGTGGATGAACTAAGAACCCTAAAAAACCCCATGCTTTGATTCTGCCCTCTTCATTAATATTAGGATTTAATGGTTAAAATTAATAAAGATGACACCTTTGGGAACTAAAGACATAAAGGACTTAATTAAACCATGAAAGTGTGTTAAAAAGACAAGTAAAAACCTTAATCTTATGACTATGCAATTCAGCCATATAGATAGATAGATAGATATATATATATATATATATTAGGGTTTGATGTCTTAAAATGGTTCTAAGACTTAATTAGGACATTAATGGTGGGACCAAGTGAGGTGGATTAAGCATAATTGATTAATTAAATCTTAAACACTAAAATTTGAACTAATTAGGGTTTAAGACCACTAATAATGTAATTAGTGAAATAAATAAACTAATGCATAAGTGATGATGTGGAATTGTATAATGGATATAAATAACTGAAAAATCATAAATTTATTTTCACTTAGGGTTTCAAACTAAACCTATTTAGGATGTGCTAATTAAACACACTGTGGTTAAATGATCAGTTTTTAGGCTAACTTTGGGAGAACATATCTCCCTCCACAGAGGTCCAATAAATATGTGCCATATATCATTTTTAAGCTTGCGATGTCAGCTATGTGATGTAAAACTTTGGTACCATTTGAAGATGTGTAGCACTTTGTAGGTCCGATTGAGTGGAGACTTCCCTTGGAGGCCATGTGCAGGGGCTGTGCGTAGCTACATCTTCCACGAATTTTTGTCTCCCTCTTTTCTTACTCAAATTAGGCTCATGATATATTGAATTAAAGCTTTAGGCGTCTAGTTTTCTGTATAAATATTTGAGAGCAATTGATTTAGTATATTTTCCATAATCGCAGAAATGGTGAGGGATGTTTGGGGTTCTGTTTGGGGTTGGCAGACAGTTTTGCTTGTCCCACTTCAAACGGTGATAACCGGAGCTAGAAAACTCCAAAAGAGGCATGTTATACCTTGTTAGAAATTTAATTGAGTCTAGATCAACATACTAAAAGATGAGAATTTTATAACAAGTGGGTTGCACACAGTGACTAGAAAACAGAAGCGTGTAAAGTTATAGGAAAACCGTAAAAGTGAGATTTATGCTAAGTGGGTTTATGGGAACCCTTAGTAACTTATAATAATTAATGTTCAAGATTATGAATGACATATATTGATGATAAATGTCTTGATTAGTTGTAAGTGAAGTTGAAAATGTCTTAATCTAAGAGAGTTTATTAATGGACTAAGTGTCTAATGAGTTATTGTGGACTTAAGGAACAATTCCTTATGCCCTAAAAACATGTAATTAAGTAATAAATGGTCTATACTTGTAATGGGCATATTATTGGCATGTAAGAATGAAATGTGGAATCATTAAGTGATTGAGTATTAATGATATAAATGATTCCTAGTCTAGTTGAGGATTTATTGGAGCATACATGTTTTACTATTGGAGTTGGGCTTGTGATAAGCTCAGTGGGGTAAGCTCCTAGTTCTAGTTGCCCCTCTCTCTTGTGGCCCCACCATGAAGGTGGACATTATGGTTGTATTGTATGAGAGTATGTGGTATAATGTATATATGCATTCATTCACATTCATATAGATGTTATATGATTCTTGATGTTATGATAATGCACTGATGATATATGTTATGAATATCCTGGCCAGTGATTATGGTATGTAGGTTGCCTTTGACTTGACTCTGGGAGCTATTTCATACAGAGGTTGTGTTGACCGTCTATGCCTTTGACCTTAGGGTCACACATGTGTAACCGTCTATGGCTTTGACCCTGGGGTTACACAAGGATGATAAGATGATGCTATGTTTATGTTGTGTGCCTGTATTATCTGCTTTATATCTGACTTGTCATGCAGCAAGTGGGCTCAGGGGATTAGAGGATCCTCTAAGAACCTTGAGCTTACTGAGATGTTGTTATCTCACCCATTTTTGGGGACATCATTTCAGGTACCCATGGTAGTAGTGTGCAGTCTAAGGGCAAAGGCCCAGCTACGGATTAGTGGATTGTGGTTGCTGTCTATTTTATGATGTTATGTTGTTATGTGGCATGTGTAGTATTTTGACATGCCAAGTTAGTTTATTTTGAGACTATTTGCTGTATGTAATAATGCTCTGGATTGTTATTAATTGAGCTTCTGAATTATGTCTATAATTGTTACAAGTTATGTTAGATGCATATGATGAGGACATATAGACATGATGTATGGATTTATTAATTTGGGCACAGAGCCATTATGTATGTGTTGACCCTAGATGGGGATTGCAGTCCGTGTGGCACTGACACGAGCTGTCGAGCTCGCGCAAATTAAAAATTATTTTTTTATTTAGGGTTTAGAAAATTCGCAGTAAAGTGGAAACCCTAAGTCGTCTCTCAAGGAAATTGTTTGGGCAAAAATCGATTATGAAAACAGAAAATAAAAAAAAAAGGTTTTGGATTTTGGTTGAATAATTAAAAGACAAAATATAAAAATTGGGATTAAAAATTCGTAATTAAAAATTAACCAACCTAAGGCTAAGGTTCCTAGGTTGTCCTTCCTTGGATAAAAATTACCAAATCATGATTAATCTCAATTGAATCAGAATCCTTATTTTCAATTGAGAACAATCTGATCATCAAATCTGATGATCATTCTTTTCCCATAATCGCAATCGCGAACCTCAGATCGAATATCCACACTCGCACGATATCGATCTGAGTTAGGGTCAAGAAACGAATCTGGTTAGAGAATGATCGCAAATCCTCTAGACAGATCCATGGAATCCCTTCCCCTTAGGTTGGTTAAAGCGGTTTTAGCCTAGCATGGCTAGGATAAACATGATTAAAAATTAAAATAAATAAAAAGAAGAAGAAGAAATAGACGAAGAACGCTTCAGAGAAAATGTTTTGATCCTCAAATTCGAAAATTACAGAATGATGAAAAGTTTCCTACTCTGCCGTCATATACCCCTACCCAAATCGGGTTAAAGCTCAGTTCTGATCGGCCCATCTGTCTATAATACGAAATAAAATAAATAAAATAAAATTAAGACTAAAACTTGGCTTTGGGCCACTTAAGTAATTGGGTTATAATTTAAATTACAAGTCCAATAATCAAATAAAACTTCAGCAAAACGCGTCCAACTTGACATCAAAAATCGACCAGTTTTCAGTCCGAATTGGTCTTCGAGCTCTACATAAGAATTGTATCCCTCTGCGTTATCTGAAAAACCCAACAAGAACGCAGTCAATCCGACAATTGTGGACCGAGATATCGCCAAAATACAAAAGTAACGTAAAGTTGAAAAATTCTGACGAAAATAAATTAAACCCAATCAAAAACTAAAAATCTAAATTAACTCTAAAAATCATTATTTTATTCTAATAAATCCTAAAAATACTAATCAAGAGTAACAAATAAGTGTAATAAAATATGAGTTATCAGGGACTTGCAAGCTGTCTATTATATAACTATGTCTACCAGGTGTAATTGTGTGTGAGATTCATATCTCCCAGTTATCCGTTAAACAGTTGTTATTCTGTCCGTGAGACTCTGGCAGGAATGACACTTGTTATCATATCCGGTTAGTCAATGGCCACTAATACTGGCTAATGGGATTTATTAGTAGTTATATGTTTAGATTTACGCTTTCGCAGTATTTTATGTGAGCGTTTTTAGAAATGCTTTTAGAAAAAAATTTGGAAAAAGTTTATTCATATTTTTACGAGACGTTTTATTAATCTTTAAATAAAATCTTCCGCTCTGTACGTTATAATATCATGATGTTAACAACCGGAGTACTATGGGGTGTTACATTTATGGTATCAAAGCAGTTTCACCGAGACGTTCACTGATTTATTGCTTAAGTGTTAACTACCTATAGAGTATTTCTTTGAGTGCTTTGATAATGCATATGTCATCACTTGTATGAGCGTAGCTAACTCATTCTGGGTGTAGTTGTGTGCAATTATAATGGCTCCTTAAAGGAGGACCCATCGGGTAGATGGGGATCCACAACCGGATCTCGTAGCAGCTACTCTAGCAGCTCTTCAGCAGATCTTGAATACTGCCAGGGAAGCTGATCTACAGAGGTTGGAAGAGGCCAGAGAGAGAGATATGGAGTACATGAGGAAGACCAGTGAGGATCTCATGGCTCAGAACATATTGGCGAACGTGGAGATGATGATACTATTATTGGTTGAGGTTCGAGCAGGACCTTCATCACCTCCACTATCTCCACCACCACCATCACCATAAAAAGACATACATGAGTATTATAGGACCGGAGGCCAGGATACTGCAAGAAAGAATCTCCATGGGAAGACTACTCCCTGGAACGGGAAGAGTAAGGGCTTGCAGGTGGAGAAAAACGGAAACAAGACTTAGAGAAATGGGAACTTTAAGAAGGAAAATGGAAGAGCTGAGAATGGAAAAACTCTTACTTGTGCTAAGTGTGGGAGGCCTCATTATGGTGTCTGTTGGATTGGGCAGAATGTATGCTACAATTGTGGTCAAGTAGTACATTTTGCTAAAGAGTGCCCTAGGAAAAGGGGACAGGTTGCGAATATTCAGGCTGTTCCTATGCAAGCTATTCCGACTTCCACTACTATTCAGAAGCATCTAGTACCTCTAGTTGCACGAGTTTATACTGTCACCCAGCAAGAAGCGGAGAAGTCTCGAAATCTGATCTAAGGTACCATTTCCATAGATGGCCATGATTTTGATGAATTATTTGACTAAGGAGCCACCCACTCCTTTCTTTTGGGTTTTGTTGCAAATAGTTTGAACTTGCTTATGTATGCATTTACGCCTCCTATGGTAGTGAAGATTGCCACCGGAGACTTGGTTTCCACTTCTTTGATGTGTAAGGAAGTCAAGTTCAGTTATGAAGATAACGAGTATGTGGTTGATCTGATTGTGCTTGAGGGTATGAATTTGCACATCATTCTGGGCATGGATTGGTTAGTCAGATATGGAGTTCTGATTTATTGTTGTAACGGGAAGATTTATTTCTCTGCTAAGAATGAGAAGAAGGACTCCCTATATTTATTAGTGTTACAGATGGTTAAGGCTCTAAATACGGGAGATGTAGGATTTATTATGTTAAGAGGATTGGTTGGTGACTCTAAGGAGCCAACTTCGAGTATCCCTATTGTATGTGACTTTGAGGATATATTCACAGATATGATCCCACAATTTCCACCAGAAAGGGATATTGAATTCTCCATTGACCTATTTCCTGGCGTGGGGCTTGTCTCTTTGGCTCCTTATCGGATGTCACCTGTAGAGCTTGCAGAGTTGAAAAAGTAGATTGAAGAGTTGTCCCGTAAGAAGTTCATTAGATCGAGTGTATCTCCTTGCGGTGCACCAGTTATAACACCTCACAATTCTAAGTTTAAATATTAAAATATTAAATGAGAATTAAAGAGAAGGATTAGTGAAAATCCTGAAAATTAGGCCAAAATACAAAGAAAGGGCAAAACGGTAATTAGCCACACGCAACCCTAGGAAGAGAAAAACTGAGTAGAAGGTCTCAGATGGTAAAAGTAGTCCTGGAAATGGATTCAGAACGAAAAATTGAGTGTTTAGGCAAGTTTCAGAAAAATCGGTGAATAGTGTTTTACCGGGTAAAAATATCGCGGTACGATTGTACCGTAAAACGTGTCGATTGAGTTTTGAGCTCTAGATTTTAAATATGAGTTATAAATGGTCTATAGAACTAGGAAATATGATTTCTGATAAAATTTGATAGAATTGTGTAAGTTTTGGGAAGCGTACCAACGGCGCGCGCAACAGCTTAAAACAGCATTTTCTCTGAACGACCGGAGAACTCCGGATTCATCCGATCAAGTATAATTAAAAGACAATGGTTAATGTAAAAAAATTAGAGTTTCTAAATAGGTTGTGAATTCACGGACGTTTAGAGAAATTCAGATGAGTTTTAATCGCGTGAGGTGGCGTGGGACCCACCCCACTCAAATCCACTTAAGCCACATCACCTCCCCTCACTATTCATCATCTTCTCTTCCCTTCTCCCTCATGAAACCGCGCCCAACAGCCCACCATCACCCACTTTCATCCAAAAATTTCATTTCACCATAACTTGATCATTCCTTCACCAAATCCATCGCATTTTGTCTTGAAACTTGATGGAAAACACCTTCTAAAGCCATTGGTAGTACTCTTAAGCCTTGAAACCATCTCATTGGTGAGATATAGGCCAAAGTCAGTTACGAATTTGTGGAGGAAAATTGATGTTCATGGAGTCATTTGGCCTTCCATTGCTTGGTTAAGTCTTGGAGGAGTATCAAGCCTTGATTGTGAGTATGTTTCTACATCATCTCCATGGTTAATTTGGTAGATCATATTTATGAACCCTAGACCTTGTCTTGTTGATTTGTGATGTTAGAGAGCTCAAATGAAAAATGTGTATTAGATGATAATGTCTTAGAATGATGTGTTAGAGCTAGTAATGCAATGAAATTTATTGGTAAAAAAATATGATTTGGTAACTTAGAAAATTTGGAGGTTGTCATGACTTTGAATTTTGAAAATGTGTTAGGATTTGGTGGTGAGTTATTGTATGATTATATGTGATATAATGGGATTGTATGAAGTGTGGAATGGTTAAAAATTGAATGAAAATCCCTTGGGATTGTATAGGTAACAATTCGGCCATTTAGTGAATTTTAGGGATTTGATGTTGTTGGTATTGCTTGGATGATGTATCATGTGTGAAATGGTATTTAGATTGGTTGTGTGGTGGTTTGAAGGTTGAAGGATCAATGAAAAATAATTAAGGGTGTTAAATTCCATAAAGGATCCAATAGTAAAATATTAGGCAAAACGTTGTTTAAAAGACGTAAAATGAAAAACGACAATTGGTATGGCCTTTTGGAAACCTAAGGATGCCTAAGAAAATGGGAAAGAAAATTTAGAAAAAATAAATCTCAATTTTACACATGTTTGGCCGAACCTACAAGGGTGTAGGGGAGGTTTTGACGTTTTTCGTGTTTTGATAGAATTGTCGTGTACTGATGATTCGTACATGGTTGTTGTAGGTTGTCGTACGTTGATTTGAACCCCGAACCGTGAATCGGTGGATTGTCCTTGGTCTTAGACCAAGTGGGATCGAGGTAAGTGATTTGAATCATGCTTGTATAACTGATAACTTGCATGTATTCGTGTGAAATTTAAGTAATTGGGAATGTCCACTTTGTAGGCATTCTGTTAAGTAACAAGCTCGAAGAGTATACTACTGTGGAGCTAAGTGAAGAGGCTTACTAAGGTAACCTCTTGGTACTGGGGCTTGTTCCCCTTGTGTGTTCCACCATACCCGTTGAGGGTGATGGTAGGAAATGTATATGAGTAGTGTAGAATAACATGATCATGCATTGAGTATTTATGAGGGTACATATGTACTGAGTCTCTGGCCAGTAGACAAGTTTTGCCTTCGGGCGTTTCGGACTTCCACTGGATAGGTCTCTGATAGGGAGTTCCAGTTGACCTAGGGTCGTGGTGTGTGATCCGGATAGGAGCACACTAGGAAGTCTCGGGTGTATGCGGATGGGAGGGGTACCTTGGTTAGTTGTTCTTGGAACACGCCTTGGATGAGACCCGTAGGCTTATATGCCAAGCCATAGGCAGGGCGTTACGTGGTATTGGTAGCTACCATTCCAGCTTCGTCGTATTTTGTATTCCTATATTCCCCAGTTTCTTTAAATCCCTTGCTTTATCCCGTTTTGAAAAGTGGTTATTTTATATTATTTATATGCATCTAAGTGAGCCATTGGGCGGAGTTTTCTCCATAACCTCTAGGTTACTGAGATATATTCGTATATCTCACCGCGTCTTGGGGGCTTTATTTCAGGAGATAGCAGTGGCACAGGAGCAGCGGGCAAGAGGCCCGTAGGATGAGTGTTTGAGGACATTTTTATGTTTTGCATTTTGATGGCCATTGGGCCTAGGCTAGACTTAGGGCATGAACATTTCATATGTTGCTAGGATGAGAATTATGTCATATATGTTCATGTCATTTTGCCTAAGTCTAGTTGTACAAGCCATTGTAAGCTTTATATTTCAAGTTGTAATTTAAAGTTATGAATTTGTAAGTTGTAATATGTAATTGAGATGTTGTAATTGTACAATGAATACTTGATGTAATACGATGGAAGGGCTTTAGGCCTATTATAGGATTATAATTATTTGTATGTTGAGAAATTGCATGTAAATGGACATTGGTAATTGAAACAAGTTAAGGATTTATAAAGTGAGCCATATGGTATAAATTGTGTAATAACTATAAACTGAGTTAGGTTGTAAGTACCCCAAGGCATTGTTGATCCTTGTGTGTGCCACCCATTGGTTATTAGGTACATTTGAGGCCTTAGATCACATTTGCAAATTGGGGATTTTTGTAAAAACAAAGGAAACTCTGGCGAATTTTCTGTAGAATTGGCTGAATTTAGGAAAACTTCGAGAGAGCATATCTCCCTGCACAGAGGTTCGATAGGGACGTGCTATATGTCATTTTAAAGCTTGAGATGTCCCTTACATTGTGTTAAAATATGAGAAATATCTGGGTTGCACGCAGCCCTGTAGAAACCTGCGAACACGGACTATCCAGAACGCACCTGTGAAGGGGCTGTTTCTGGCAGTTTTTGGGAATTTTATTACCGCTTCGTTTCTTGGTAAAATTATATGTATAATATATCAAATTGAAGCTTGACGTGTCAAGTTCATGGTATAAAAATTTGAGAGCAATTAAGTGAGTGGTTTGTCTGCAGTAATTCGTGGAGTGAAGGATGTTTGGAGCTGTTTTGGGGTTGGTTGGCAGTTTTCTTGCCCAACTTCAAACAGCGATATCCGAAGCAAACGAGATTGAAATGACACGTGTGATGGTTCATTGGAAAGGTATTTAAGTAAGAAAAAAGATAGCTAAAGAGGAAGGACTGGTTTTGCACGGTGTGTCCACAGAAAAATAATAACCGAACCATGTTCGGATGAGTGGAAAATGCAAAATCGAGAAATTAGCTAAGTGGGTTTATGGGAACCCCTTAGTGTCTTGTATTGAGTAAAATAAGATATAAAAATAGTTTAAACAAGTATTCCACAAGAGTTTACAGTTATGGTCACAGCTATTAATTATTACGCTTTTTATTGTTTTAAATACTCGCGTAATAACGGAAAAAGTTTATTCGCATTTTTATAAATGAATTGTTGTGATTGTAACTGCGCTTAATATCATAATTAATGTTAACAATACCGGTGTACAACGGGCTGTTACACCAGTCATCTTTGTGAAGAAGAAGGATGGGACTATGAGGTTGTGCACGGATGCAACTAAATAAGGTAACAGTGAAGAACAAGTACCCTCTACCCCGCATCAATGATTTGTTGGAACAGCTTAGGGGTGCTTCAGTGTTCTCAAAGATTGATCTTCGTTCCGGATATCACCAGATTCGGGTAAAGGCAGAGGATATTCCGAAGACGGCTTTTCGATTCAGATATGGGCACTATGAGTATTTAGTGATTCCATTTGTGCTTACTGTTGGGTTCCAAAGAGGGTGAGTGAAAATATATTATGGTGAAAACGTTCCTCAGTTCACTAAGAAAGAACACAGGTGTTCTCTTAGTTTAACTCAAGTGCGCAAGTGCACGCATCTAGTAATAAATGGGAGTATTATGCCCAGATTATCGTTCCCACGAGGATAGAACTTTAATTAATGTCTTATATTGTTTTCTAAAGAATGAAAATGAAAAGAAAAGTTAGTAATTAACCTGTGTGGTCAAACGTTCCCTTCTGTCTTGACAACGTTCCTCAAGAACAGTAGGTTCAATCAGACAGCAAATAGTTCATCGCTTCGTTATGTATGTCAACCTTCTTGTTTAGGGAAGGAGCAGCAATATTCATGAGAGGTTTATAGATACAAGATTAAATAAAGAAGAAAAATACAAAAACTAATAACAATAATCAAGAGACAACAGGTTGGATGATTTAAAAACAATAATAACAGACGGAACGGATCCACTGCTCCATTCATAAATAATTATTTTCTCTACTCAGGACTCAACACTTAAGTATTTGTTCCAGTTTCCTTTCTGCCAACGTCTGATTCCTCAGCTTATGGACTAGATGGCTCACAAGTTTCCATATTTCTATGGCTCCCTTGACTCCAACAGGTACTTAGTGCAGAACCTTAAAATGAACAAGGTGGTCCCTTATTCCTAAGGCAACCAGCAATACTGTTTCCACAGGACTGCCTTCCCCCTCTGGTTAAGCTGTCTGAAATCCCTTCCTTATGGAAGAT